GATGGAAACTGGGAGATGGGAGATTGTAGATGGGAGATGGAAAGTGGTAGATAGGAGATGGAAGATAGAATGTGTGTGATAGGAGATAGGAGATGGGCTCACTGACCATGGTGAGTCGACTCGCTCTACACCGACCTTGTTTGCTGACAAGGCCATGATCCTCCTATAGGGAGAGCCTCGACTAGAGAGTAGAATGAAGTACATCGATGTGTCGTACTTTCTCCTTCGAGAGTTGCAGCGTCACGGCCAGACACATTTGGACTTCATGGTCTCAGTGGCCAACATTGCAAATATCTTCACCAAGGCCCTTGCGCTTGGTGACCACCACATGTTCTGTCTGCAGTTAGGGTTTGTTGAAGCAGGTCCTCGGTTACTATAACTTTGCCTCTTGCTGCTTGTTCTGTTTGTGCTTGTATCTCTATATATATTTGTGGACACTTGAATTGGTCTTGTGGCCCCTTGCTTACGCTCAGACTGTGTGGTGACTTTGTGATCCACCTTGAGCTTTGTACTATTGCTTCTCTTGTCTAGTCTTGTGACCATTTGTGTTTCCTGTACTTTCTTATTATCTCTCACTTAGCCTGTGGGAGTGTGCCAAACTACATATTGTTGTTAGACTATAGTGAGGTTAGCCATAGGGAGTATAACATTTTAGGGTTAGCATTTGTACTCACTCACTTGCTACTCATCATCATTCCGCTCCGTATCTCAACACAACACAACACACAATGCACTTTTACATCATTAGCCATGCTACGACAAAAAAAATATTGCAGGATTACAGGCAGAGTCGTTTTTAGCGTGCTCAGCCAATATGAGCAAAATATATGTTTTCTTTACGACCCAATGATTTTTTTTTTTTTTTGACATATACATTTATGAGGACAATGCATACATCAAAAGCAGTCGTAACTGAGCGTGAGGGCACTGCACCATGCACTGCCCAGTAATGCATCTAGGGCGGCAGGAACGCCCGCTTTGGCTTGTTCCAGATAGCAGCGAAGTTTGTCGACCACTTCCATTTTTTGTCACCTGTCTCCCTTATCCTCGCCAGCATTTTTTGCTCCGCTTCGAAAACACTCCTGACCCGTTTTCCCTTCCCTGATGTCCCTGGCCGCAAGCTTTTGGCACCCATTGCTCTCGTGTACACTCTCGCGTGTAGCCTAAAAGCCGACCCAATCCTCCTGAGAACCCTCCGGGCTCTGAATTTCTGCCCTCGGAAAGTTGCTTCACATCTCTCCACCCACAGCTGATGAAAAGTAATCGATGTGAGGGTAGCCTCCGGGAAATCCGACGCCGTTCCGGTTTCCTGGAACAAGAGGTCCCCCAGCGAGGCAGTTGTCCTCCCTGGATTGAGCATGCGCAGAGCACGACGGAGCCCTGAGACAACTGGCTGAATTCTCGGGCAGGAGAAAAGACAGTGTTCGTGCGTTTCCTCCACTCCGCAGTATGGGCATTTTGGCTTGCAGCTGAGAAAATCAACTCGCTCCCCGACCTGAAGGTTCAGGTTATGCACCCGTGTGAGGACATCTCTCGGTCGGCTCGGGATGGCCAGCGAGTTGCGTGTGCGAATGATTCGCTGCCAGTCAATCTTGCCGCACCATCGACCAGACCACTTTGCCTGCTTCGTTAGGACTGCATCGGGTTTGGTCCACACCTCCCTCATCCGCTTCAGAGAAGCTGCTCGCTCTCCGTCAAAAATTGCTGACCGGAAAATTGAAGCCGTGGCCCCGCGACACCCCCCTGCTGTCACCGCTGTAACCGCTTCTTTCTCCCCTCCTCCTCCAGCCGTGCCGTTGGGGATCAGCAGGGTTTTCCACTCCTCCGGGGCTGCAGCAAAGGCTTTGAGAGCCAGCCGAGCAGAGTCCTTGCCCCTCAACTCTTTTTCCAAGACATCCATGTCCTTAACTGCTGCTTCGCCTGAGGGCGATGTGGTTACCAGGTCCCCCATGCGAGTATCCCAGAGCCCTTTCGCCTCCTTCTGCCCGCCCACTGGGTTAGTGCCGTTCAGCAGCACGTTCCTGTTGAAAATAATTCTTTCCAGCGCCACCTCCTCCTTGCTACTGACTTTCCCTGTGTCAGCGAGAGGCGATTTCAGGAAAGTTTCGCAGGTCTGCTTCCACCGCTCCCCGTGTCCCGGCCAGTGCTTCAACACCTTTTCGTGCGCCGTGAAAGTGTCTTCTCCCATCGGGAGCCCCGCCGCTTTAAGCATGATTTCTTTTTTCTTGCGGTTCCCCTCCGACAGGAGTCCAGCGATTCTCCTGGCCGCAAGACAAGCCATGAGGACCTCCGGGTCCAGTACTCCGAGCCCCCCATCACCTCGCGGAGTAGAGAGGAGATCCCAGCTCCACAGCACAAAACCTCCATCCGCCGACGCGTTATTCCCCGACAGAAAGTTATGAATTAACTTCATCAGCTTCTTCCAGACTTCTTCCGGTGGGGGGTAAACTTGAGCCTGGTAAGCTACCTTAGGCGTGATGTAGCAGTTTATGATCACCACCCTTGCCGCAATCGTAAGGAAAAGCGCTTTCCACTTGATCAGCTCCACTGTAATTTTCTCGAAAGCCCTTAACCATGTCGGTTCGCTGCTACCGGAGGGGGTGATCCAGACCCCCAGAAGGCGTTCAGCTTCATCTGCCTTTGCCCATTTGAAGCCCCCCAAAGTCCCAGGTCTCCTTCCAAGATTATGCCCCAGCGGCATGACAACCGATTTTTCCCTGTTGGTGACCAGACCTGACATCTCTGCAAATTGCTTCAGTAGTTTTCCTGCCCTGGCGATCTGGCGTTTTCCCTCCAAAAACAGTGTTGTGTCATCCGCGTAACCCAGGTAAACTAACCGCTGTCCAGCTTTGTTGCAGAGGCCCAGCTTCCGCCTACACGCTTCTTGCGCAAGCGGCTCCACCGCGCAGAGGAAGAGGTATGGAGCAAGCGGACACCCCTGCCTCACCCCTGATTTTACTTCCACCGCCTCTCCCAGCCAGCCATTGACTAGTAACCTTGTCCTTGTATCTCTGTGCAGGCCTTCCACCCAGCCTACGAATCTCTCCGGGAAACCCATATCTCTCAGGATCGTAAAGAGGAAACTCCGGGACACCGAGTCAAAAGCCTTACGGAAGTCCACCAGGAGCATGTACCAATCTTCGTTCCCCTTTTTCGCTGCTTCAACGACGTCAGCCACCACGCCAATCGCGTCAGAGATCCTCCTCCCAGGTATAAATCCGTACTGCTCCTCCGATATCACTAAGTGGAGCCACTGCTTCATCCTGTTCGCCACAACTCTCGCCAAAACCTTGTAGGTGAAGTTGAGTAAGGTGATGGGGCGATAGTTGTCCAGCTTGTCTTTGTCTCCTTTTTTATAAAGCAAGATGGTAACCGCTTCCTTGACGCTTGCAGGGAGCGAGGCCGATTCTGAGAAACTTTTCGCCATCTTCAGGAACTCTCCCCCCAAGACATCCCAGTTCTGCTCGAAGAGCTCTTTCGGAAGACCGTCTCTCCCGGGCGATTTGTTGTTTGCCAAGGCTTTGAAAGCTTGTTTCACCTCCTGCTCCGACCAGTCCGCCTCCAGTGCCGCCGCTGCGTCAGAGCCCAGCTTCTTCCCCGGCAATAGTTTCCAAATGGCCGTCGTCGAGCGACTGTCCGATCCAAAAAGGTCTGTGAAATAGTTGGTGGCCGCCGCCAGAATTTCTTTGGAATCTGTCACCGTCACACCGCCTACTGACAGCTCTGCAATCTGTGTGCGCTGCTTTCTGACCTTTACCCTCGCTGACAGGAAAGGGGACGGCACCTCTCCCGCCAGTTCAATGTTCGTACCCGCCATCAGATGAAGTCTGTCCCGCTTCGCCGCATGGTATTCCCGCAGCTGCGTCTCCCTGACCAACAGTAGATCCCTAGCGCGCTGGCAGCTTGGGTTCCGCATTTGCTCTTGCCGAAGCTCCGCCACCACGTCTGCCAGATGCGCCGTGGTCTTTTTGACCCTTTTCCTCTCCTCCTTCATATACGACCGCAGGCCCGCGTTAAGTCTGCCCAGCAATAGCTCAAAATCCTCCTCGCCACTTGCCTCTGCCTTGGCAAGCGCAGCTTCCACCGCTTTCCTGACCCCTGGCCTGCCGATGGCTGCAGCATGCAGTCTCCAGATTCCGGGGCCCAGGTGAGAAGTGGCCTTTACCTTGAAAGCAACTTTAATAGCGAAACCGTGATCTGAGATGTACTCCTCTGGCATGGTATGTGCGGCTATCTCCAGGTGCGGAAGTAAGGAGCAAGAGACGAGCGCGCGATCTATCCTGGAGCTAGACTCTTTGGAGGCGGAGTAGAAGGTAAATTCCTTCAGCTTTGGATGCAGCGTGCGGAAAGCGTCCGAGAATTGAAAGCGGCTACATCGCGAGATAAGTCTGTCGTTTTCTAGTGACGATCCTGACTGTGATGTCCTGTCTAAAAACGGGTCTTCCACTGTGTTCAGGTCCCCGATCAGGACAACGTGCGCTGTGGGTGGAACAAGATCTATGGCAGGGCCGATGACATTGGCTAAAAAGGAGCTACGATCAGTTGCGTCAGCAGGGAAGTATGTGGCTAAAAGAGTTAAAGTGAGACCGGGCCGACTGACTTCAGCGGTTATCAGTCTGCCAGAAGGGTGAGTGGAGATCTTATGTATGGTGATAGATGGGTTCCTGGTGAGCACCGCCACACCTCCCGCTTTAGCAGTTGGGGGGGTGGTTAGGACTGTGGAGAAAGAGGTTGTCTTCCAGTAAGGATGGTCGTCAGGCAGTCTGGTGTCCGAGAGAATCAGTACGTCTGCTGATGTTCTTGTCCATGAGGTTACTCTAGATTGCTTTGTCAGATCGCCAAGGCCGTTGACATTCAGGCCTGCTAAGGAGAAGAAGTTTTTGTTACTCATTTATTCACCATCTGGCAGCCCCGCTTCATCCACAGGCTGGTAACGAGAACTACTCCAACAACGGACACCCAAACGGCTATTGCAATGAAAACACCCTGCTCGGCTCGACTCAGACCCCATACTCCTTCTTCAGATTGCTGAGGATCATCTTGTCGAGTGTGAACTTGGTCGCAGTACCCAGCTTCTCCAGGTTCAGCAGATGAGATGCAGATGCAATGTGGTCTGAGGCAGCCATGAAAGTTTTCCCTTTTGCTTTCCCGCAGCAGACTTGCGTGCAGATCCACTCTTCGCGGTTCCCACCGGTGGAGATAAGAGCAACAGCAGGATCTTTCAGAATGGGGGTGATCGGTGCGGAAGTACGCAAGGAAGCAGCTGCGACAGCAAGCAGATTCGTCAGTAAGCGTAAGAAAAGGAAAAGGTGAGTCGTGAGCTGTAAACTGATCCGTGCAGTTACCGTTGATGCGATGGATATTTCCCAAGGTCAGTGACCACTTCCCTATATTGTTCTGTCTCTCGGTGACGAACAGATCATGATAAATCTCATAATGGTGTCCGCCGCAGAGAGAACAGGACAACTCAGGATAGTGAACCAGCAGCTTCGCGCCGACCTCCAGTGGGTTGTCAACAATATGGCGCCAGCGGTACCGGTCCCCAGGGTGCTGAATGACCAGTCCCTTCACCACATCAGTGTCTGCGCCGGTCAGCGGGTGAGCCACTCGATGGAAGCAGAAACCGTCCTTGAAAGCCGACTGCTTCCTCATTTTAAGCTTGAAACGGACAAGAAGATCTTTAAGCACGTCAGGTACAATGTTAGCAGGGACCCGCTTAAAGAGAACTTCAATCGCGAGCGGGTTAGACGACTTCTCCCTGAGGTAAGAGGAGTCCTCAGTATGCTGCCAGAGACACTTCACCGACGGGCCGTTCGTCTTCTGATATTCGAAGGTATGAAACTTGATGTGATGTGCGTCACGCTCGTCGAGGAAAGAAATCTGAAGACGGCAGAAGCGAGTCTTGGCCACATAACCAGGTGACATCTCCTGGATATTAGCAGTGACTCCCGCATTCTCTGTAAGTGAACTGCTCCAGACCTTCTTCATTAGAACACGGAGTGCAGCAATGATAGCTTTAACATCCTGAGACAGCGCCATTGGGATCAGAAGGATTGCAATAAAGCGAAGACGGAAAGCAGCCTCTTTTGCAATGTCAATGTCGAGTTCCTCATCCGAATCATCCTCCAGGAAACCCTCATCTGATCCTCCTGCGACTTGCTGCATGCTCGCCTTTTCTTCCACAGTTAAACCAGAGCAGCCAGCGATAGCAGCATCGACAGCAGCAGCAGACGGGAGGGAGACGTTAACCGCATCATTGTTGTCCGTGCTTCCAGAACCATTCTTCCCCGCAGGTCCCGAAACAGCGATCTTGTCAGTCCGCGGGACATTTACTCCATCAGGAGAGACAGGAGAGTCAGGCGACGGCACGTCAGGAGAGTCAGGAGCAGGCGGCGTGACCTCAACAGGAGCCTTCGCTGGACGACCCTTAGGAGGCATGGTGCAGTGATGAAACCAAAAAAGCAGCAGTCGTGATGGAAAAAGCTTCAGGGTGGGAATAATGAACACAGAAACTTGAGCTGCCAAGAAACTGAGCACCACCTCCTTAAATAATATCCCGAAAGCTCGGGCTCTGATCTCCTGAGCGATGTGCTGAGTTCCCGCTGTTGAGACCTTGGGATCATGAGCAGCCTGATCCAAGTTGTAACTCTTATGTTGTAAATTGCAGCCTTGGTAGTTGTGTGCGGAAAAAACCTTGACGTCATTGTTGAATTCAATGTCTTGAAGCCTAGGTAATAGTTGATCTTGATAAAACGTTGAAACAGTGAGCCTGACCCGAGTAGCTGAAGATAAAATGTCCGCGGGATGGACACGATAAAAATATCTTCTGCTTCGCAATGCACTCAGGAATGTAGAACTGTGCTCATTGTTACCAACTGATAGGTAACCTTCACGTAACAGGCTTCCGAAGTTACGCGGAGGAATCCATGGCGGCATCGTACCGTACCCTCTAGTCAACCAGATGCTTTCCAGATGGTCTTGTGTAGGAACAGTAGGAACAGTATGAAACGACCCAATGATACAATAGCCTAAATATGTTCGGTAACATCTTGAAGTATGAGAAATAGCACTTTGAGTTAGAAGGGCGTGCATCAGGAGATGCGAGGTATTTCTATTGACGAGTACGGCGAAAAAACGCAAAACGCGAAGGTCGCTGTCGCGACTTGGCAAGGTGAGGCGACGTGCATTTGTACTTCGCGAAATCTGCTACAAGCCGCCCCCTCCGTTTCTTTCGTTCGCAGCCTCCGGAAACCCCGTCTTCCTGTCCCCTTCGCTTCGGAAAGCACACTCTCCCGTTTCGACCCCATCCCCCCTCCCCCCCCCCCACTTGTACGCCACGCAGCAGCAGCAAGCAACGAGGAAAACTATGGGGCATAGCAGCGTCCCGAGACGCGCTTTCACCGTCACTTACGGTCGACCCAACACACCAACATCGCCATGTCATCCCTTGAAAATCGCGCCCGAAACCAGCACTGGTCAATTTCAGTCTGTTACAAATTTCAGCCCTGGTTCAGCCAGCTTCCGGTCACTTTCTCCTGGAATAGTTATATAAAGAATCCTCTCTTCTTCCCAAGCCTGCATCTCGCTGACGGCAGCTGGCGTAAGAACGCGCAGCAGCAGGACACCGATAGTTCCACTCGTAATCGTACCCCGGCACGACATGAAGCGACGCAGCAAGCTTGCAACTCCACAAGGGCCCCACGGTGAGACTAGTGCCACGGGCGACGCTAACTGCGTGGATGTGGCAACGCAGATGGCTGAGTGCTGCTTGGAGGAATTCAGGTCATCGCAGCCAATGCCACGCTCGAGTCAGTGCGCACAGCAGCGCCGTGTCTTGCCTATCTCCGCCCTTTACCTCGCGCCTCGCGTCTTCGGTGGTAATGACGCGTGGGGTGCTGCCGATAATGGTTCAGCCGCTGTTACGCCAAGTGAGCAGATCGTTGCGGCGAGCACGGCGCTGAAGCGCTCCGGCAAGGGTGGCGACGAAAGCGAGGAATGCGACGATAACAAGAAGTTCACCGACGAATCTGACGATAATGTGGGCGATTCGGACGACGAGGCGTCCGTGGCGTCCACTTTCTCGTGCCTATCCAGAAACACGTCAACTTCGTCATTGTCCGATTCGATCGCACAGGCGGCTGGGGACAAGCAGTGTGCTACTGACGACTGTGACACGGAAGTTCGTTTGCCCGACGACCTCTACCCGAAGGAAGCGCGTATAGCATTTTCGGATCAAGACAGCACGCAGCGGGCGACGGGGGCGACCAGCGGGTTCCACCAGCTGCAGCCGCCGCAGGCGAGGCTCGTGCTGCGAGAGTCGTGCATGCAACGGATCTATGTGCAGCAGGCGATGTTCGTCGAGCACCAGCGAAGGATGCAATGGCTACAGCAGCAGCACATGCAGCAACAGCACTTCCAGAGCGGTATGGCGGGGTGGCAGTCAGCAGGAACGCCTCGGCGAGCTTTCGTTCCCCCACGCCTCCGTCGGCCTCAAGCCTATTGTGGCACGGGAGTGTTCCTGCTTGGAACCGCCAATGGTTGCTGCTGACGACTATGGACTCCCTACCGAACCCTAAAAGCGGGATGACATACAGGCTAGGACTACCGGTATGTTCAAATAAAAAGCCAGAGGAGTCTGTGCTGTGGTGTGGCAGTTGCCTTGCCTCCGCACGCTGATGGGAGCACCCACGCCACATCATATTGCGTTGTACATAGGGTCTCCCCAATGTACATAGTGCATACCATCATGTTCTTGGAATGTCAGTAGATAATCTGCCATTATCCAGCTGGTAATCCGTACGCAAGTTTCCGGCATTCGGGATGTCTAGTACGATTAAAAAGGGGGTGAAATCATTGCACATGGTACAACTGAAATAATCAGGAAGTTCCAGCAATCAGCATTGCGAACGTCTTGCACAGTAGTTATAGGTAGCAGTCATGAATGATTGGTCATCATAAAGCATCGGATGCAATGAGGACGAGCAGGGCAGTCCATCCGGTAAATGGATGTGCTCCCTTGCCTTTGCCATCCGCTGTGTTGTCGTACTGCTCCCAGAAATACCCACTCTCCTCGTACCGTTCCACAATGTTCCTGCCAGCCAGCAAATGGTGGTGCACGGCACGGTGAAGAGCACGGAGAATCAAGGAAAACCCCAAGAGCTTGATAGCTAGTGAAGGCAGTGGGTGGCATTACCTGACGAGGTTGAAGCGCAGCTCCCGGTACAGCTCTGCTGCCCTGCCCCTGTGTGGCCCTGCCTCTGCGGGTGAGTGGGGAAGGGAAGCATGGGTGACGAGGGAGGAAAGACCGGGTCACGAGGGAACGAAGAAGGTCACGAGGGAAGGACTACTGGTTTGCGAAAGAAGCATGCATATGCGGACGTGTGTGCACATGTGCATGCATGTGTGTGTGTGTATGTGTGTGTGTGTGTGTGTGTGTGTGTGTGTGTACAAATGCAGACATGTATGCGTGAGTGTGTGCACACGCCCGTGCACGTGTGTGTGTGTGTGTGTGTGTGTGTGTCGCGCGTGCACGTGCGCACACATGTATGTGTGTTCAGGCTCACGGCAATGCATGAGTCTGCAGGGTTCCATATATACGTGTACGCATGCACTAGAAATGGAAGGAGGGAGAGGACGGACAACGGTATGCCATGAGAGTCAGAGAGAGATCAGAACCCATCTGATTCAGGATGACGATTCACAGAAGAACCTTGCACAGGGCAAGGTTAGGACTGATGATCGCACTCCTGAGGTCAGCAGCACGGCACACGAGGGCGCGAGCACAAGAGAGCAAGGGAGGTGGTGGCCCACCCCGGGGGGTGAGGGCGTACGGGTGGAGTAGAAGCGCAGGGCGGAGAGTGCAAGGTAGTTGATGTTGATCCACACGGGCCCCCGCCAGTACGGCGGGTCGTGCTCCGTGTTGCGCCGCATGTACAGCGCGCTGGGGGAGGGGCGCACGTGCACAGCAGCAGTGGAAGGTTGCGCGGAGACAAGGAGCTGAGCATGGTTGCTGGTGCAGCGAGCATGAGCACGAGCATGGGCATTGACGAGAGCATGGCATGGGCATGGGAATGGGTATGAACATGGACATGGACATGGACATGGACATGGACATGGGCATGGGCATGGAAATGGGCATGGGCAAAGGCATGGGCGTGCGCATGAGCATGAGGAGGCGAACTCGTACAATCACATCGATGCTGATACCCGCGCCGAGCTGAAAGATTTGCGCACCGTGGTGCAGCGTATTGAAACGCGTCTTCGTATTTCCGATGAGATCCATCAAACGTTGGCTTCAACGACCAAGAGTCTGCTTGAAGCCGTACACCAACCGAGCTGGTGTAACGAGAAAACCATGGAGGTGTGTTCCTTTTGTGTAAGATTATCCGTTTTTCCAGAACTTTACTAATCGTGTTTTGTCCGTGTGTACTCGCAGGAGGCAATGAAGAAGGCATGTGATGACCTGCTGAAGGGTCCAGACGTCGAAAAGCGCGTCATCTATCCCGAGGAGGAGCTGTTTAAGGATGCCGTCATCAATCACATCACTTTGGAGCCTGACGACCTTGGCAAGTTCAACGACTACTGGAAAAAGGGTCATTGGACTAAAAAATGCATTGAAGCTTGCAACAGCCGCCAAGGGAAGGTAGGTTTCAATTCATGGAACGCATCCTTCGCGCTACTCACGGACCCCGAGGGTGAGGAGGTTCAAGACGACGTCTAGGCATGGGCGTGGGCATGTGCATGGGCATGTCCATAGGCATGAGCAAGAGCAGCAGCACCATGGCCGTGGGCATGGGCTGCGGCATGGGCATACAATCTCCCCACCTGTCATCTCCCCACGCCCATGTGTGGAGTGGCACCTGGTGGTGGCGAGGGAGTGTGTCACCTGGTGGTGGCGAGGGAGTGTGTCACCTGGTGGTGGCGAGGGAGTGTGTCACCTGGTGGTGGCGAGGGAGTGTGTCACCTGGTGGTCGCGAGGGAGTGTGTCACCTGGTGGTGGCGAGGGAGTGTGTCACCTGGTGGTGGCGAGGGAGTGTGTCACCTGGTGGTGGCGAGGGAGTGTGTCACCTGGTGGTGGCGAGGGAGTGTGTCACCTGGTGGTGGCGAGGGAGTGTGTCACCTGGTGGTGGCGAGGGAGTGTGTCACCTGGTGGTGGCGAGGGAGTGTGTCACCTGGTGGTGGCGAGGGAGTGTGTCACCTGGTGGTGGCGAGGGAGTGTGTCACCTGGTGGTGGCGAGGGAGTGTGTCACCTGGTGGCGGCGAGGGAGTGTGTCACCTGGTGGTGGCGAGGGAGTGTGGCACCTGGTGGTGGCGAGGGATCGCAGGCCGAAGGGCGTCCAGAGCAGCTTCTCCTCGCGCAGCGCCTCCAGCTGCTGCCCCAACTCACTCGCGTGCTGCCCATGCCATGGGGGACGGGAGCGGACAGGCAGAGATGGGGCACCGAGATAACACAGCACGAGAGGACGGGCGAGAAAAGGGCAATGGGCGTGGAGGGGAAATAGGTTGGAGTGGCAGGGTGGACGGAATGAAAAGGAGCGGAACAGAACAAACAGCTTACAGGCGGAATCAAGCGCAGCAGCAGTGGGAAGAGTGAGACGTATCCAAAGTGTGGCACGAATCGCAGTGTGGGAGAGCCCTTGACCACGCGGCGCTGCTCCCGTCGCACGCTGTACGTGACGGGGTCCACCGCCTCCACCGCCTCCAACCGCACCTGGTGCCCCCGGGGCACACAACACGGCGCACAGCACGGCACCAAGCAGGGCAGGGGCAGGGCAGCGGGCAGGGCGGCAGGCAGGGCGTGTGGATATGGATGTGGGGAGATGGACACCTCTTGACCTCCTTTCACCTCCCCTCCGCTCCTCTCACCATTCAACGCAGCCTTCCCATGCATCACCCCTCTGCGCCCATACACCACCCCTCTGCGCCCATACACCACCCCTCTGCGCCCATGCATCACCCCTCTGCGCCCATACACCACCCCTCTGCGCCCATACACCACCCCTCTGCGCCCATGCACCGCCCCTCTGCGCCCATGCACCGCCCCTCTGCGCCCATGCACCGCCCCTCTGCGCCCATGCACCGCCCCTCTGCGCCCATGCACCACCCCTCTGCGCCCATGCACCGCCCCTCTGCGCCCATGCACCACCCCTCTGCGCCCATGCACCGCCCCTCTGCGCCCATGCACCGCCCCTCTGCGCCCATGCGTCCCCCCGCTGACCTTGTCGGTGTGGTTGCCGTAGTCGGCGTAGCGCTGCCTCCTGCCGTCCCAGTGCAGCTGGTGCCGTGGGCAGGGCGATTGCCCATCAGGAGGGGGGGGACACGAACATGGGACGGAGAAGTGAGGGAGACGAAGAGAAGGAGGGTGGATGGGCGAGGGGCGGAAGGGAACGAGAAGAGTGTGGGTGGGGGAGAGATAGTGGGGTGCAGAGTGGGGAGGGTGTTGGGCAGCCAGCTTCTGATTACACCAGCTGGCGTCGCTTCCCTCCAGCCCCCATCCTTACACTGAACCCTTACCCACCCCTTGTGAGTGCCTCACATGAAAATCTGCCATCCCCTGTACCTGCCAGCCATGGTCACTCATGCATGCCCCTCCCACTGCAACTGGCTGCTCTCACCGCCCACCCATCTACCCTTCCACCCATCCACCAATGCATCCACTCCACCCACCCGCCCACTGCCCACCCAAGGGGCGTGGGTGCAAGAGGCATGAGCGCGAGGGGAGGGGTACCTCATTGAGGCGTGTGAAGTCCGTGAGCTGCTGGGCTGTGGCCTCATATTCCTGCATTCATGCGGTCACACAAGCATGCACTCATACACGCACACATGCACACATGCACGCACTCATACACGCAAATATCCACACACACACGCACTCATGCATGCACCCATGCACGCACAAAACACACATGCACAGTTGCAGCAAATGCAAGGAGTGGGAGTGAGGTTACTGCAGCGCAGAGGCTGAATAAAGAGAACAGGCCACGTTGCTGCATGCGGCCAACAGGCAGCCACATTGCTGCTGTGAGGAGACAAGCTCGGCGAGATGGCAGCCCACAATCTCTCTCGCACACGCCCCCTCTCACCTGCACGGCCTCTCGTCTCACCTGCACGTCCTCCCCAACCACGCTGCCTATCTTGGCGATGGCAGCAGCAGCGGTGGCGAGCCAGCAGCGCAGGTCCACATGGCGCTCGTCCTCCGACGGGTGCGACGCACGTGGGTAGTCGTCCAGCCCCGACTGCAACGTCTGGTGCCAGAGGGGGGGAGGGGGAGGACCGGGGGGACAAGGGCGGGGAGGGAGGGGGACAAAGGGCAAGGCGATGGAAGTGGCTGGGGTGAATGGATGGGTTGGAGTGGGGCGACATGCCGGCAGGGACGTACGGCAGGGCGGGGGGACAGTAAGGGAGCCAGACGAGTGGTGCAGCATTAAGGAAAGGGAACAAGAGATGACAACAAAAATAACCAGCAAGGAGAGCAGCAAGGAGGGCAGGAAGGAGGGCGGGGTGGGACTGGCCTTGGGGTTGAGCTCGCGCACAGTGCTGGCATCCCGCCCCCGCCAGTAGTAGCTTCCAGGCAGCTTCCCTGATCAAAGGCAGAGGAGGAAACAAGGAGGGTGGTGCATGAGAGAGCACAGCTGGCACCTCAACTTTCTTGCAGTGCCGCATGCCACCCACTCACCAACACCTTGGCAGCATGAAGTGCGGCTCACATGCTGTGAGGAGGGGCACTGCTCACATGAAGGGGGGGGCAGGGCAATGGAGCAATGGTGGTGGTGAGGGACCAAGACCCATGTGGGAGGAACCCCCTTCCTCTCACGGCACCATCCCAGTGTGCCCTTGCATGCCATGCCCGCATTCCACCATCCCAGTGCGGCGTCACAACCGGTGCGGACTGACACACTGCCGAGGGCGCAATCAACGGAGCTAGTCCGTTAGTGGTGGCGGAGGCCGCCTTCGGTGACGAAGCAAAGGCCGGAGCAGGCACGACGGGGACAGAAACAGGCGGTGCAGCAGGGGCGCCATGGACAGGTGCGGGGGGATCAGCATCACCCCCAGCAGAGGCAGACGCTGACAACTTGACAAGGGGAGCCTGGGGGCCAGGCGCCGCAGGCGGAGCAGACAGAACAGCGGCAGGGGCAGACGAGCCAGCCCCTTGCGCGGCAAGGGGATCCGCGGATGCATGGGGCGGAGTCCTTTCAGAGGCCGTTGTCGAGGGTTTCGGAGCCGGCGGTAGAGGGGGCTTTGTCGCCATGGTCACCCTTTCGGGCTCCGCAGGAGGCTCGGCGGCCGCAGCCGACCAGGCGGCAACGAGCTCTGGCGTTGGCTCAGAAGCTCCGGCAATCACCATTGCAGGCGCAAGAAAGTCGCGGGGCAGAAAGGCGAACAGTAAGCGGGACCGGCGGGGGTTCAGAGAACGGATACCAAGCGGCAGCACGAGTAGCTTTAAATAATCTGGAAGCAGCTAATGAAGAGGATGAGCTGCGGGACCCCACTTATAGGGAAGAGCCCACACCTGATAGCGAGAACGATGTGGCAGAGGAAGAGGGAGGCGGGGCGAGGGAAGGCTCAGGGAGAAGGGAAGCAGCAGGGAGGCGAACTCGCGATCACACGCCCCAGGAGGCACACCTACCGACCCATGCCGATCGGACGGTGGAATTTCCAACCTCCGCCTCTCCCGCGCGATCGCGCCGCGTTCGTCGAAATCGGACCGCGATTTCAGTTGGTGCGACACGCCCAACCGCTCCGACCCCCCGCTATTTTTCATCTGACGAATTGGCGAAGCGAACAGACTTGTTCGCTGACATCGGGAATTGGGACATCAAGGCTCTATGCGACAGTCGTCAGCCTTCGCTGTCAAGGCGATTACCGCCAAATTTGTGTCAGCTATTCTCGCTGGCGTTGCTGACACCGTTACTACACCTCTCGCGAAACCCCGAGTCAGAGACAGGTTGGCGTCTGCTGTTGTTTCTCCTGCGCCTGACTCTCCGCCAAACCTCGCCACAG